GAAACCAGCACTCTTAACACGCTCTCCAGCCTGCATGTGCATTTTAAGCTGTCAAAGTTATACATTTTAGTTTAGAGACATTTGAATTTGCAGACACTGTGTTCTTTCAAATCTTTGCTTACATAAGCAGTTAGGAACTGAAATAACTCTGAACTAGTTACACAATGTTGTCTAGTAACCAGGATGTACTGTTGCCACAACACCCGTGGAAATATTCTGCATGCAAGTCTACTCTCCCTGTGTCCACAGATGTGTCAACACAACATTATTTTGTAGGTAGTATGCACCATATGGTTCATGAAAGTGGGCAGCCGTTCTCTTCCTTCAAATAGCCTGATGTAAAGATCTTTGCAAAAGAGAAACCAAATATGCGTTGCTGAGAAACGTGACTCTAAAAGACATTTAGCAAGGGCACTTCCCAAAGTCACAGAGAAAGCAGACAATTTCCTTCCCCTGATTGTAGAACCTAAGACAAGAAAACTACCATTATTTTTTTCTGTCCATGGCTCTTTGTCAAAATGAAGTTGAGCCAGAAGATATTCCCAACTGCCCCAAGATTATTCAGAGCTACACCTTACTGTCCCCTGGGAGAGGAGATAGGGAATCCCACAGCTGACATCCAATCTGTCAGGAAATCCTCTTGGCTCTGTGTTCAAAATATCTCCTGAAGCCTGCCATCTCTGACCTCCTCCCATGCTCCTGTCTGTGTCAAGCCACGGCTGCCTGAGGTCTGTTAGTTCCTTAGATTTCTAGGTCCTTCCCCCAGTGCCGCTGTGGCACTTACTCAGGCGGCACCTGCCATGTGACAGGTGTCTGGACCACATTCTTGAAGCCTCTTGCTACTGCCCAAAGTGTTTTTCTTCATTTTTGTAGCTTTTTGATCCACTATCCTAAAAAGTCTATGTTTTTAATCTGAGATTTGCCTGCTTCTCTGAGCGGGATGTAAAATGCAGCTTTTCTGGACAGGTTTTAATTTACTGCTTTCTTTTCATTTAAAGCTGAAAATGGGGAATAACACAGAGCAGTTCCTCAAGAAATATTTACTGAGGGACATGGATGAATATGAGAACGCATCCTTCCAGGATCTGGTCACATCTGCCACCTGTTGGTAAGGCGATGTAAAGGACCCAAATATGCCACCTGTGCAAGACAGTCACAAGTTTTAGGTCACCCACAGCTCCAAAGCTAGCTCAGGGAGGGAGGAACAAAGCAGGGACAGTATGTGAGCATGGGCGTGGGGGATGGGAGGCCGGATGCAGCAAGGAGAGAGATCTGAAGTAGTTTACTGTACATTTTATTATCATGGTATACATTTTCAAAAACTTTAAAGGAATATACTAAGCCTTGCTTTCTTACCTGAAATATTCCAGTTTAAACACAAACAACAATGACAAACCCTACCCATCTCTGCTCAGGCTAAGGGCAGATTTCTCTTGGAAAAGTCTTCTATTCTCCAGCTGACTGATCCTCTTTAGGAACACTGCCTTCACCAACATTTCCTTGACAATTCTCTTTACTTGACATGAGAACTCTCAAGCTGACATTTGTTCCCTCCACTGTTGTCTTACTTTCGCCTGCCCAGGGTGGGCGCTACTGAGCCACCTCAAGGGAGTGCCATGCAATGCTTCTCTGGGCGGCCTGCCTTTATTTTAGCTAATGGTTTAAAGAACTGCACATTTGGGGATTATTTTTTCCTATCATGTAACTTTAACTTCTCAGTTTATTACAAACAATTTGATCTGAAATGCTGTTTCTAACTCTAAAGAAAGGGATAATTATATTTATGCTATGTGTCGGGGTCAGGATAGCGATAAAGACATCGTCTCCACTCTTGGGAAAGAATCCAGTGTTTTGGCAACCCAGAGAACAACCGTGAGAGTGCTGACTTCAGTTTGTTCATCTACTTGTAGGACAAATGATAAAACTAATACATTAAAACATAAGGCCAAGTTATGGGTGGTGGTGCAAGCCATTAATCCCAGAACTTGTGAGGCAGAGGAAGAGGGATCTCTGAGTTAGAGGCCAGCCTTGTCTATGGAAGAGAGTTCCAGGACAGCCTGGAGCTATACACAAAAGCCTTGTCTCAAAAAAAAAAGCAAACAAAACCCACCAAACAACAGTAACAAAAAACCCAAACCTGACAACAATCCTTAAAACATAATTTACCTGAAGATAACAGGTTTTTTGTCTGCAAACGTGCGTGCGTGTATGTTTGTGTGTATGTGTGTGTGTGTGTGTGTAGCATATGTAGGTAAACATGGAAATCAGAGGTCAAATTTAGGAGTCATTTTCTGAAGCCATCCACTTTGTCTTTTGAGATCAGGTCTCTAACTGGCCTGGAACTTGCTAAGCAGGCTAGACTGTCTGGTCAGTGAGCCCCGAGGACCCTCATGTCTAGGCTCTCCTCAGCGCTAGGATTACTGTCTCTCACCATCACACCCAGCTTTAGTCACAGGATTTGGGAATTGAGATCCTCCTGCTTCCATGGCATGCATTTTACAGACAGTACTATCTCTTTAGTTCCAACCAACTTCTTCAGTTTTATTTTTATTTGAGGAGAGTGGCAAAGAGAATCTGGAACACCCTACCCTGTGTGACCATATCGTAGACGGTAAATGCTAAATGCCTATGTATAATCTTGCCCTATGCTAGCAATGGAACTCAGAGTTTCAAGCATGGTAGCCAAACCCCTGTTGCTGAGCTACATCCTAGCCACCTCTGATTCAAAATTTGATGGCAGAATCACGGTCTATTTCTATGAAAATATTAAGACTCAAACCAAAAGGAAAGATTCTTTAAAAAGCCAAAAAAAAAAAAAACCTATATAAGTGACTTGATATAATGAACATAAAGATTAAGGTATTTGAAAAGATAAACATTTTAAAACCATGTCTATATGATAGCCAATACTAACTTCTTGCAGAGAAACATTAGGGGGTGGGTACAACCAAGCTTTAAAAGTATAGATTGGTAACAATTGATTTTGATACCTAAATATTACATCAAAATTTCTGACAGGCATTAGACACAGAAGTGCAAGCCACAAAGATGTCAACTATTACACTGCATGCCTTAATTTCTTCTCTATAGTGAGACACTAGAGAATAGCTAAGACTCACTTTGGTATAGCTTCTAGGTGCTAGAAAAACTGCTATAGACACACCTTCCCAGCCCTTTGTCTTTTGCAGTCTTACTATACAATTCACGGTAGCCTCAAACTCAAAACCCTCCTGCCCCCGACTCCTGAACTCTAAATAAGAATGTGCCATGGTGTTTGGCATCGCTACTTTTAAAGTTAATTCCTTAGACTGTTTCTTGTAAAGTGAAGTTACTGACATTCAACTGGCTTTGTTACAAACAGGCAGTCTCACATTATTCAGGCTAGTGCTCCCCTCTTGTGGATGACTGACTGTTCTACTTAGTGCTCCCCTCTTGTAGATGACACTCCTTCATCAAAGTCCCACAAATGCCACATAGACTAGCTGACTCTGGTTCCTTTGGGTTATCTTCAAGGGAACAGGCCCACCTTCACAGCAAACTCTTGAGAATGCTTAGAGTCTTCAAGTCATGAGTCTTTTCTTTCTTTCTTTCTTTCTTTCTTTCTTTCTTTCTTTCTTTCTTTCTTTCTTTCTTCCTTCTTTTTTTCTTTTCTTCTTCTTTTTTTTAATGTGAGTACACTGTCACTCTCTTCAGACACACCAGAAGAGGGCATTGGATCCCATTACAGATGGTTGTGAACCACCATGTGGTTGCTGGGAATTGAACTCAGTACCCTTGGAAGAGAAGTCAGTGCTCTTAACTGATGAGCCGTCTCTTCAGCCTCAAGTCATGAGTCTTTGCAAAGCTTAAAGAGTACTGGCAGGGAGAGTGTGTCTCAAAAAGTAGAACAAAAACTCCGAGACAGTTTCCAGGGCAGGAGCACTAAAGTTTAGCCTGCTGGCTACGTCCCAAGCTACAGGATACAAAGTCAGCTCACTGGAGTATAGAAGGTCAGAGGCATGGGCTGTGTTAAATTCATTGAAGACTAACTACAGGGAGAGCACTGTGCCACGTTTTAGATAGCCAGTTAACGTTTAGTTAAGTTTAATTGGAAACGTCACTCATTCATGCAGAAGCGCTGCTGGGTTTTACAGGTGAGCATGGTAAGCGCACAGAGCAGCTCCACCACAGACTCCTGTCTTCCCTTTCATAACAAGCGCCTGCCTGCTGCCACCGGGCTCTTGTTACTGCATTTTCTTAGAGAAGAACGTTCTCTGCTGGGCACTAACGCTGAGAGGACACCTCATACCCGGAGAACTGGAGCACTTCCTGGGTACAGGCAGAATTCCTTTGCACTAGATTCTCTTCTCGGTATCTACTTGAGCCTATATGTCAGGCTGTGTTTCTTTAAAATTTTACCCACAATACTGAACTAAATGGACAGCTTAGCGCAGTGTTGTCAAAGGCAACGCTGTTCTTCCTGTTCTCAGAGCAGGGCTTGTGCTAATCATCAGGGTTACTGTGATTTGTGTAGCAGAGAGGGTAGACTCAGAGGGTAACAGGCTCAAGATGTTTCTGAAGCTTTCAGACGCTCAAAATATAAAATATACAGATAATTTTTATAAACAAAATTGTAAGTATTAGGGCTACTTTATTTTTCTGGATAATCGATCAAGAGAATAACAAAACAAAGCAGATGAACTGTCATTCTTAGAGCATTGAAGCTGAATCTGCTCGGTGACAGCAGTGTAGTACCCCAGGCCAGGGAGCAGAGGACAGGGGAGCAGGGACGGTGAATTCGACGACTGAGTTTAAGGTCTTCAAAGGTAAAACTGTTCTGGAAATGGTTGCTGCGCCCCCTGGTGGTTTTTTAGAAACCTAGACATGACTTTGTACACAACCTTGCTGAAATGTTAGGTCACCGAGCTCATGTTTTTTTTATCCCTGATTCTTACACTTTGTAAGGAAACAGACTGTAATAAATGGGTTAATACTGCTTAAGTTAAAGAAAAATAACTTACTGTGGTTGAATCAAAAGAAAGGACATCCACAACTGGGGGAGAAGAACTCTGCAAATCCATTACCTCAAGTTTTGGATTTATCTGTGTGCACACATAAAATAAGTTAATGTGACACCTTCTATCAAAAGGAACTAATACTATTTGTAAGAAAAACAAAGTATTTATAATATATTCTAAAAATAAAGCATATACTCATTGAAAAGGGCACAAATATTGGCGAAATATGAATTCACTAAACCTGCCAATATATACAATATTGACAATGTTGAACTTAAAGCAAGAAATGGTCATTTTTACAGTTTAAAAGCAACGTGATTCACCTACAGAGGACTATTAAAGCATAAAGACCCACCTCAAGAGATGCAGAAAATATCCTAGCCAGTTCATTAAAACAAGAAAAAGAAGTAAAATGTTAAGATGTAAGAATCAGAGAGGAAATAATAAACTTTCATTTAATAACACAGTGATTACCAATGGAGAGCTAAACAGAATCTACTCCTGAGTCCTCAGTCACACTAAGAGAACCGATAAGCACTGCTAGCTCCACTCAACACACAAACCCACGTGGATTTCAACATGAAGTTAAAACACGGACAGTATTAAAAGAGCATATGTAATACTATAAAACTGAAGAAAATCCACCAGGGATTCATGGGAAAGACTATGACTTCATTTACATGAAAGTTTCAAGTAAACAGAAAGTTGTATCATAGATGGTCTGGAAGCAGAATGACATGTAGGTGGGGAACAAACATAGTAAGATTCAGTGGCATCCGTCTATAGACAAGGATGATGGGCCATTTTAAAAACTGGCTAGGTATACAGGTCCTAGCTAAGAAGGGTCAGCAGGAGATAAGTGGAACCCCTCATGATGATCAAACAGTAAAACCAGCAAGAACAAACAACTAAGGTCATGATTCCAACCAGAGGTGGAGAACGGCATCTGAAAACCCGGAATAGCAAAAGCTGCAAGCAAGGGGACACGTGCCTGCGATCACAGCTGCTGGGGGAGAGCTGTGTCACTGTGAGGATTGCTATGGTGAAGGAAACAGGAAGGGGCAAGTATCTAAAATCTGTACACAAGCTTACATGGAAATGTAGAAAATAGAAATCCCATGAAAAAATCTACAGAAATGAAACCCTAATGGTTAACAGGTTTGCCTTCAAAAACTGCTATGAAGGTGCTCAGCAGCACCATTCACGAGGAAAAGTGAAAATGGAAAGAAACACGCTGCAAACACCGGAGCGCTCTGGACCGTCAGCATTGCGTGCCACACTTTGTAACCAACGGTAAGCTACACTGTGGATACTGCATGTGAGGTAACGTCACGGAGACACAACATGGCTCTGTACACCATATAAATGTGTCAGTTCACATAATATGCACATCTTGGGGTTTTTATATGAAATAAAAAGGCAAATTACAGAAAAGCATACTCAATACAACCCCATTTGCCCAAGACTTTTTGACCATTCAAAGCTAAGCAGTATTTAATTATAGATTTGAAAATACGCATGCAGTAAAATTACAGAGAAAAGGGAATGATTTCCCGGATTGAATGACCACCTCTGAGGGAAGTTATTTCTAAATTCGAAGGCCTCAAGGCAAACCAAATAAAAGGCAATCATCCTTAGTTCAAAGGAGAGAGCCAAAGAGAACCCAGCCGGCAGGACCAATGGAACAACGCTAGGTACACTCAGGGCCAGAAGAAAACTCTAGCTGACTGCTCAGCCGCAAAGGACTTAGAAAGAAACACAGGTTAACACAGCTTCTCAACACAAAAATAAAAATAAAATACACTTCAGAGAACAAGTCAGAGAGCCAGGGTAAGATATAGAGCCCACCCACATACTGGCCGAGCACAGCCATGGTGCAAATAAACAAATGCACAGGGACAGGAAAAAAAGACAGAAGCAGACCGGAGTTGACAACGGCCAAATTACAAAGAAATTCGGGGAAACCACGAGGCTGGAGTCTGAAGTGCTTTAGAGAGACTTGTTTGGGAGAGACACTGGACACTGCTCTAACTGTGGGCTGAGTGAGTCCCAAGCAAGAAGAGCAGATTGACTGATGGATTTAAAGCATTCAGGCTTGAGGGGCGCCACTGTAGTTATGATTATTAGATTTACATATTTGTATGTGTGAGTACATGCACACTTACCCATGGGATTGCACCATGGGACATGTGTGGAGGCTGAAGGACTATCTGTGAGATTTGGATCTTTCTTTCCACCATGTGGATCTCGGGGAGAGGACTCAGGTTGGCAGGCCGGGCTGCAGATGCCTTTGCCTGCTGAGGTAGCTTGCTGGCTTGGTTTTGTGTTTGGGGACTGATCTTGCAGTGGCTATGCACTACAAGCTGGCCTCACATGTGGTCCCCTTTTCTGTGACTCTCAAGTGTCACAGTGGGATTACAGGCACATGTGCCATCATGCTCAGTCCCCTCCCTAGCTGTCGCTTTAGAAATACATCTTAAAATTATTCAGCCCACTGTGTGACAGTGGAGGTGCCTGACTGTAAGACACAGTAAAGGGAGGATAGATTTGTGTATGAGAAGGATCAGGACAGCTGGCCCAGTTGGCCAACACTTCTTCCTTCCAGCAGAAAACCAACACCTTCCCTGTGAAGAGGAGACACCTCAGGCTTTTTATTTTTCAGTCTTAGGGAGGGGGCCAGAGAGACACGGTCGTCTTTTCTCTACTGCCACCTAGTGTTGGTATAAAGAAGCTCACCAATTTAGCTTTGCTCCTGAAACAGAAACTGCTCAGAGAGTTTAAGTCCTAAATGAGGAAAGAATGACCCCCTTCTGTAGTAAATCGCTGACTTTCTACAAGTTTGGAATTTATGTAACTAATAGTGTTTTACTACATGGGAGAACAATTGCTGCCCTGCCATCCAAGTGGCCTTGAGATGCAATGGATTGAGCTGGCTCTCATTACCTCAACAGGAGGGCCATGGAGAGTTGTGAATGAGAAGGCTGTATAGAAGGTCCCCCCTGGCCACACCCTGACCTAAGGGTCTCCATCATGGAGGAGCTCAAGGACACCCATACTAACACAGTCTGCAATGTTTCCCTAGACACTACATTCTCGAAGGGCAGGGAAGGAGCCCTTAAAGCTAGGACCTCCAGCACAGAGAGACGGCAGTGTCTGCTGACAGGGCCAGATGGGAACTCTTATTAAAACAGAAGCACTGCCATAGGTGGGCAGAGCTGCACAATGGGCCAGGGTGCCAGGGCTACATCTCGGGCACTGCTAGCTACGAGCTTCAGCCATCTACTCACCTCAATTCTCATGTGGATAAAGACATTGCTGATTTTCAGTGTTTGTAGCACTATCAAATAACTGACGTAAAGTCATGGAAAAATGCTGTATAAGCTTAGGTATTCTTATTACTATGATCAGTGTCATGTAAGCACCTCAAAACAATGTAAGTATGTAGTTCAGCTAGAATTAAAACATAGAATTGGTAGACTGGCAATTATATTTTCATCCTCAATGGTAATGTTCTTTAACCTTATTAGCAGATTAAGGTAAAATCATGATCTAAGATTTGAAGATTTCTATTCATTATGACAGAATTTTTACCAATTAATCATGGTCAGGCTATCATAAAATATTAAGGTATATAAAAGGATTGTTCTGTCCTGCTAAGTAACATAGAATTCCATACATAATTTATAGATGATGTTGCTATTCCAGTGGCCATTCTGAAGTTGAAAGCAATCAAGATAATTTTTCCATTAATGATTTTGACTTAGCTACTATCCCTGCTAATATTCTGTAAGTCTAGAATAACTATCTGATTCCCTAGTCTCAGAAGGATCTATCATGATCCCTTAGGAAGCTTTCTGGTTTTCCCACTGTTAGGGTTTCCATTGCTGTACAGACACACCATGACCAAGGCAACTCTTATAAAGGACAATATTTAACTGGGGCTGGCTTACTGGTTCTGAGGTTCAGTGCATTAATCATCATGGCAGGAAGCATGGCAGCATCCAGGCAGACATGGTGCTGGAAGAACTAAGAGTGCTACATTTTGTTCAAAAAGCAATCAGGAGAAGACTGGCTCACAGGCAGCTAGAAGGGTCACCCTCCACAGTGACACACTTCCTCCAACAAGGCCACACCTTCAAATAGTACAACTCTCTGGGCCAAGCATTTCAAGCCACCACATTCCACTCCCTGGCCCCCATACAACTGTTCAAACACTTGAGTCTATGAGGGCCATACCTATCTATAGCATAATGCAAAATACATTTCATCTAACTTCCAAAGTCCCATAGCTTATAGCAATCTCAACAATGGTAAAACTCCAAAGTTCCAAGTCTATCCTGATAGTTATCTAATCACTTAACTGCAATGCCCTATAAAGTCAAAATAAAAAGCTGATCACATACCTCCAGCATCACAGGACATACATTACCATCCCAAAACATCATAACTAACGAGGAAATACTGGACAAAAGCAAGACCAAAAGCTAACTGGGCAAAATCCATCTCTGCATCTCCATGTCCTATGTCAAAGGAGTCTTCAGATCTCCAACTCCTTTCAGCTTTGATGACTGCAACAAACTTCTTGGGATATTTCCACTCCAGGTTAGCAGCTTTCCTTGGCTTTCCTTTTTTTACTCCACAGCTCTGACATCTCTAACATTTTGTAATATCCAAGGCAACAATATCAACTTTACAGCTTCTTGTGCCAATGTCTGGGATCCACACATGATCTTCTGGGTTCCTCCAATGGGCTTGGGTCACTTTTCCAGCTCTGCCCTCTGTAGCACTCGAGGCTCTGGTTGACTCCACTCCACTGCTGCTGCTGTTCTTGGTGGTCATCCAATGGTACTGGCAAATCCAATATGCTGGGGTCTTCCACTGCAACTAGGCTTCACCAATAACCTCTTGTAGGCTGTCTTCACGGTGCCAAGCCTCAACTGCTTTGCATGATCCCATCAGTCCTGGGCTGTCAACTGCAACTGAGGCCGCACCTTCACCAATGGCCTTCCATGGCCTCTCACAGTGCCTAGCTTCAGTTGCTCTTCATCACCCCTTCATACCTTCAAAACCAGTACCACCTGGGT